CGTCCGAGTGCCAGAAACAAGCAATTTTGTTTTCGCTGGGTTTAGCAACAGACCGTTCATTTCCGACCACTCAGCTATACGAGCCAGATCCTCATTAAATTCATTGGCCGCTAGAACCGTGTCAGCGGGTCGAAATGATTTGTAAACCTGTAGGTCATCAGCGTACAGGTGATGCTCACAATTAGCAATACACCTTGGTAAGTCAGCGGAGTATAAAATAAAAAGAATAGGCCCAAGAATAGATCCCTGAGGCACACCACAATATATAGGAGAAGTAGTAGAGTATCTTTTAGTGCCATTGGGAGATGTAACCTCAACCTTTTGACAACGGCCTGTGAGATAACTTTTAAACCACTTAACAGTGTTATCATTAAACCCATAATAAGCAAGCTTCGCCAGAAGTAAAGCAATATTAACAGTATCGAATGCACGAGAGAAATCAAGCAAAACCAAAATTGATCCCTTACCCATATCTCTACCCGCCAATATGTCATCAATGACATCCAAAAGTGCAGTCGCTGTACTCATACCCGCTCTAAAGCCTGACTGCTTTTTTGGTAAGATACCATTTGCTCGTAAGTATTCGGTCAATTGTACGCATACTACCTTTTCCAAAATTTTTGACATGAATGGTAAGATGCTGATTGGCCGAAGGTCCTTGAGTGCAGTTGGGTGTTTGACTTTGGGTAGCGGCCTAATAATTGATTCCTTCCATTGATCTGGGAATATACATTTTGTGATGGACATATTGATAATTGCAGTGATAACACCAAGAGTCCGTGGAAGAGTTAAAAGAATCATATCCAGTGATATACCATCTACGCCCTGTGCACTCGATCTCATTTTTCCAATGATCTTAGACACTGTTACTTCGCTTACTGGCTGAAGACCAAAAACGCTACTGTTAAAGCGGTTACTATAATATCTCTGTATATGCGAATCATCTTCATGCATAAGAGCCGGTAACTCTAAGAAGTGTCTATTAATATGATCGGGGTTGGAAATACTCTCCGGCAGCTCGGCAAACTTTTCGTTGAAATCAATATGCCGTTTAATATTTTTCCAAAGTGTACGTGAGTTATGAACATGTTTATTAACAAAATGACGAAAATAAGCAGCCTTTTCATTGTAGATGGCAGCATTAACTATACTTTTTAAATCCTTATAGTAATATTTGTGAATCTCCATTTTTGTTCGACGATACCTGGCATATGCTTTATCTCTTAACCTCATCATTTCCCTGATAGTTTTAGTTATCCATGGATGATTTCGCAATGCTATATATGATGCCTTTATTGGAGCGTAGGTGTCAAACAAATTTGTGATGTGTGCATTAAAAGCTGCCAGTGTATCATCTAAATTGTAACTCAATAGCTGTTCCCAAGCTGTGGCGGACACCGATTCATCAAAACACTTTATATCTATATCTTTAAGCGGTCTATACACTATCCAACGAGGTGTTTGTTTGGGTCTCCTCAAATTCAATTCAAATGAAATAAAAGCATGATTACTGAGGTCTGCCACGTGGTCGACTGTGATATCCATCACCTTTGTACTACTGCATACGACATCTAGTAAAGTTTCAGAATGATCAGTAAAATGTGTCGGCTCGGTCACGTATTGATGAAGATTCATGGTTTGACAAAACTCCAGCAATTTCCTTGAATTGGGTTCATGACATTTCAAAAGGTCAATATTAAAGTCACCTACCAGAATAATATGATCAAAAGGCGACAATCCACCCACCGTCTCCGTCAATGCATCTATGAACGAATCCACGTTCATCCACTGTGGACGATATGCCGTTCCGACAGCTGATTGACAGCCATTCAGGTTTAATTTCAACCACATCTGTTCCACGGCCGGTGCTGGGGGGTGTTCTAGAACACGAGTGTTAATACCACGTTTAATATAAAAACCAACACCTCCACCACGTGAACGCGATCCGAGTGGACGCGGAATATGTCGCAGGCGGTAGCCGGGGGGTGAAGGTGCACGCGCTTCCTCACCCTCCCGCAGCCAAGTCTCGTTAATGGCTACAATGTCCGCAGTGTGCCTCTCCATCGCAACCAGGAACTCATCGTGGCCAGTACCCAATGAACCGGGATTTAAGAAACCTAATCGTAGGTTTTTATATTTGACAAATTCCATGACAAATGCGGTAGATAACTGGATAAATTTACAATTTAATAAACTTTTCCTGAGCACACCCGAGTGACGCCAATCCAGTCCATGAAAATTACTAACATTTAAAAAAATATCAAATACGCATTCACCATAATGAAATGAACCCATGACACAGGAATACCCAGTATGTATGTATTTTATAAAACCATTAAATTTACATAATCTTAGTATAACAATAAAAAGTACTACATCAAAACAATCTTGATCAAAAATAAAACATAGATATAAACAACCAATAAAGAAGAACACCGCGTGCAACTCATTGCTCAATTCAGGAACAGCTCTCAGTACTATAATTAACCGACAAAAATTATAGAAATCAATGACAAGAAACAACATAAGCAGTTCAATATCCAATACAATTACCAATCCATCACATTTTATATGAAAAAGCAAATTAAGCAACATTACTTTATTCAGCACATACCTAAAAGCTATTATTACTATTACCAAATCTACCATATCAATAATTTTTAAAGCACAATATAACAAAAAATTACAGAAGAAACAACACAAAAATAATAAAGCATTCTTATTTAAAAATACATAACCGTCTCTCAAATATGTAAAATCAATACTCAAGCAAGGTTCATAACAATAAATAAAATCAAACAGCAGAACCAACATTTGGAGCACCAAAAACCTTTGCTATGTCAGACTGTGAACGAAGTCTATGACAGCTTGCCCCCTGCTCCCGTCTCGTGAAAAGTATCTCACTGTACTTACCGCATTAAAATATAAGCAAATACTGGCGACGAAACAGTATTGTGGATATTTCGATATTACCCAGTTAAATGAACAACAGCAAACGATAATACAAAATAATATTAATAGATAAAATTAAAAAATAAATTAGATTGTGACATTTTTATTTCGAACTTGGATTTAGTTTAAGGTTCCCTTCAGCAAATGGGTTGCATATTTTCAAAACAAAAAGTAAAAGTAAATTAGTGTGAGAAGTTTTGCTATGATAATTTATATATCAGAAATAATTAGATAATTTCTCAGCTTATTTCACCCGCGTATGAGGTTTCACTAAGTTTTTATTATATACTAGCTTTCGCTACTGGATTCGCCCGCGTGGTCCCTAAGGAAATGTTTAGTGGGATAAAAATATCCTATTATTATGTCGGCAAAAACACTATCTGGATACCAAAGGAGAATGTTTTTTTGGTACTCTATCCCGAAAAAATCTAATCACTATAAAGAAAAGCACCTTGTTATAACTTAGCGTCCTTAGTGGGCATATAATATAGCAACATTGTGAAAATCGAATTAATAATTTATTAACTATGTATTTAATATAATAAGCTACTCACCGATTAGACTCAAATCGGGCCTAATCTGCGTCGACGAGCTTCCATTCGTTTAAAATATCTCTGTATTTGACATTTAAATGTCTAAAATATCAATAATTAATCGAAAATAAAAACAATGATTCAACATTGTCCAAATAGATTAATTGACAGCATGAATTGGAACGTAAATTTCTTAATGCACTTATGTGTTGCTACATAAATTATGAAATATCCACCAAATTATGTTCAAATCAGAAAATAAACGTTTTGGCGGCGCCTAAAAATAAAATAAAATGATCATGTATAAAGTTTATTTACCCTCTATCGATTAATATATACTTTATACCATTAGAGATAATTTGAATAAAGTATCAGCCTCCATACAAAAAAAGCTGCACGCGCACCCACTTCGCGGGCCGTGCAGCAGAAATCGTAATATTTTAATTTCGCCATAATTTCAAAACCAAACGTCTAATTTCAATAATTCAAAGACCAAATATTATCTAAATAAACTGTACTTAGTGATTATTTTGATAAGGATTCATAGCATGAGTAAACGCGTTTAAATGTAGTCCAAAAAAATTCAAGATTTTTAAATAAAAAAAGTAGTTGTTGTGCCTCACTCAGATATAGTGTGTCGCGGACTTTTTTGTAGATATTTATAAGATCTATAATTAATTAAAACATATTATTTTCCAAAATAAATTATAGCCTATGTTACTCGTGGATAATGTAACTTTCGAATGATGAAAGAATTTTTAATATAGGTCCAGTAGTTTTTGAGCCTATTCATTACAAATAAACAAATATACAAACAAACTTTTCCTCTTTATAATATAAGTGTAGATATATTAAATATTTTTAGGGTCACCTAATAAAAATATTAGATTTTTTTTTATATCAGTCCAGTAGTTTTGGTGCCTATTCAATACCTATTTAAACAAGCAATTAATTCTTACATCTTTAAAAAAATAATATACACTAAATGTTTCCCGCGAATCCGCCTGCGTAAATTCACTGCCTTTGTCACCCACCCGCCTATAAAGTAACTTCCCGTTGGTGAAAGAATTTTTAAGATGAGATCAGTCTTTTTGAAGATTAACCCTTAAAATATATTTAAAACTTTACCTTTTTATAATATTAGAATAGATTCGTTAATAGTTAATGAAAATAAAGAGATACCTCTGCAAAAAATCCTATTATTATATTTAACCATATATATAACGAGTATCATAATTGTATTTGTATAACAAGTGAGCCTTTTTATGAGAAGGCCATTAGCTTCAAAATAATACAAATATTGCATAAAATAATGTCACGTAATATTTTTTGTTTACATCAATGAGCGCTCTTAGGAGCAAGCGGAAACCGCAAGCTATGACGTCACGGCGGGCGCGTCGCTGCGTGTGCGCAAGTAAAAACTTTCGCTTTTCACTGCCAAGGCGAAGTCGCGCGCTGCGACCGATTATAAGAAGACTTGTCTTGTGTTTTTATAGTTAAATAAGTAAAAGAATCATGGATGATTTGAGGTCATTGAGTTCTAATGTTGTTCATTCCTTACTCGGTCACTGGGTCTGTTGGTATTTATGGTATAATTTACAAGTACGAGTAGATGCAAATACTCAATGTCAGATATTAAATAAAACTAAGAATATTTGGCATTAGGCTGAAAAAAATGAAGATATCCATTTTATAAATAAATGATCAGTTGTTAATAATTTGCGCCTTTATGATTTTGTGTGTACATAAGTTACATAGATGAAAAATTCATAATGTTTTGATTTAATTTTGTGGGTGGCATTTATTTTAAAGCTAATTTAAGACTTTAAGTTCTAATAAAATTAATAAAAATATAAAATATTTTTTGTTATTTATAAAAAAAAAATAGATGACTTAGGAAATCTTAGGTTGGATGTGCGTAACGATGCAATGGGAGCAAAATACTTTCAGAGCACAGTTTTGACCTAACGTAACCAAAGGTAGTTTACAGTGTTCTATGCGTTAAAAGTAAAAAAAATGACGGACCAAGAGAATTATTTTTTATCAGTCAAAACAGAACAAAAATTGGGTTTCGACTTTTTGGTCGTCAATTGCACTCACTACATTATTAATATTAAAATATGCAAACTCTCTTATCTAGGTTTGGTTAAGCGTGGTGTGCCTCGCGACATCGATGGCAGCGCCCGCGCCACAGCCTTATCCCCTCGCCCTGGACATCATAGACATGGCAGCCATCAGTAGAATGAGTCCACAGCAGCTCGAGAAACTAGCGGAAGGCTTGGCTGCTGAAGAAATTATGAGGTAAATATAATATATATTATTTTACAATGCTAGGATAAATAACAAAAGAGAGTTTACCACCATGTTCCGTTTCTTACACTAGATTAAATCAGTAATATCTCTATTCTGTGTAAAAAACTGATATACGATGGAATGCAATGTCATCGACATCATATACTCTATGATCGACATCAGTATTCGTATAATCACCACAAACGTGACATTGGCGGAATTGTGTAAATGCAAATAGGCCATGAATTAAAAAAAAGAAGAAGTTGATAGTCGTTATTTTAATTTAAAAAGTATCTAAATATTTTAATGTAACCCGTGGTTATAGAATACGTGTATTTGTAGTTTAAAAAATATAATATATTCTTAAAAATATATGTACTTTAAATCAGAACAAAGCGATCGTCAGCGCAAGCGCTCGGCACAGCTGTCGTATCTAAGGCGTCCTCAGGACTTCTTCAGACTAAAGTCGGACTGCTGGGCCAGGCCTCCGCCGGTGCAGCCACCCTCATAGCATCTGCCTCCAGCAAGAATGGACATGAAGACCATGGATATTCATATGAGCCGGTAGTTTTTATATATGTTTTTTAATAAAAACAGCACTATCGTTTGTATATTTGGAATGAAAAGTTTTTAATTTGTATTTAATTAAGCAAGTTATCCAGTCCTCATCGCTTAATTTACTAGTTTAAAATTAAATAATCTTAAAGTTGATATTTCACGAATCATTAAGTTATTTCTAGCCTCTTCTTTTAATTTAAGTATTACTTCACACAAGACCGTAACACTGTCAAAACCTGGGGTGGTACTAACTCCTATAATCAATTTTCGTAATATCATCTACTGTATCGTGCTCTGTCCTACTCTTTGACAATAAAATACATTAGTAAAATCAGCTATGGTATTCTATTAAAAGTCAACTCCGAAGTCGACGTCGAGCACAGAACTATAATAACATACTGCTTCAATGAAATCATTTGAAGCAAGTTTTATTCGAACTTCTATGTTATGACAGCGCTGTGCTCCACATTGTATTCCTGGCTGTTTTTATAACTTAATAGCAGGACAGGTGATGATTCTGCCTCATTTTTTACTCAACGATGAAAACCATTACATGATAAATTCAAAACGATGACTAATTTTTGTTTGTCCGTCCGTCAGGAAGATTATTGAGGAATATTAAACACGTTTTTTTATCTTTTGCTTATCATCGTGTTGAAGTGTCGCATGACGTCACGCCTTCGTACATTTTCTACATAGTTGTGAGATAGCGAGCCCCCGCTCCTCAATTTTAAGGCCTATTAACTTAAATTCAAATTAAATTTAAATTCAATCAAAAAATATATAACTAATATTTTATTATTGTCTGTCTCACGGACTAAATAGAATTTCTTTATTTTTACCCAGTCCTCATCGCTATTATTGTGTTTAGACAGACAGACAGATGGGCTGTTAAATAATTTAAAATTGAAACGCCTGGAATAACGATAGCTTCAATCCGCTGCACGTTTTGTAAGAATTAATGTTGCCATTTAATACAGTTATACTTCTCATTCGAAACTCTTTACCATGAAAATTATTTACTCAAAAATCAAATTCGTGTAGAGTATAATGTGTTTTTTTTTTATATTAATCACCTTCTCTATAAATGGAATTATGATTTACAAAATGATATATATTTTATACTCATTCAATTAGCATTTGATAATTTTGTATTTTCCAATAAACATGTGTTATTTTCTTTTCCAATAGCACGACGAAAAGTATGATTACTGGGGACTAAAGAAATCCATACTTTACACGTTGTTCCAAGCAGTGAAGGCTATCACTGGAGGGGTGACCATCCTCAAGGGTCAGCTGATCAAGGGGGGCGGTGCCTTAGCTGCCACCTTAGGAAAGGTTATATCGGGGAAAGGGGATGTTGTTAGCAATCTGGGCAAGAAGATCGTCAGCTCCGCAGCCTTGAGCAATAAGAAACCTCATGGTAAGGAATTTTTATTTACTTTACACTTTTAGAAGTTGCAACAACGAACACCTATATCCGAGGCTTGTTATGCAACCCACTTTAATTAATAAAAACAAAATCTACCCATAAAAAAACATTTATCGAGTTACTTTCACAAAATATAGTATTGTGACATACTATATTTTGTGAAAGTAACTCGATAAATGTCTTATTATAAATGAGAATACAGTATTGCAAATATATGTGGTATTACCAGAAATAAATCTGACTCATACACCTTTCTAATTGTAACACGTTGTTTTTATAGATGCATTAGGCATTTATAGAACTTGAATAAGTGCATCTGAATGATGCTTATGATACTCCAACATTATTACATAGATTGTTATTATTCTTGTACTATCGGTTAGTTACACAAACGTCCACTAAGGTTTAATGACGCCTTTTATGTCAAATTTGTATGGGTAATGTCGCTTTAAAGTAATAAACATTTTAATGGACGTTTGTGCAACAGGCTGTATGTCATACAGAAAATTATTAAGCCAATTCCCTGTAGAACGATTAATTAGAAGTAACATAGAAGCCTACAAACTACAGTTTCGTGTTATGAAATGATCCTCAAAACAATATCTTATAATAAGTTGTGTTACAAAATCTAAATAATCTATTCTGTTATCAAAAGCAAAAGGGTCTTTAAAAGAAAAAAAAAACTGCTACAAGACTAAATAAAAAAACAACTACTGCTGTCAATTTAACGACAAAGTGTGGTAGTCTTTAGATTGGATCTCCGAATACACAAAATGTTTACTATTATAGTGAATATTCATTGTTCACAAACTGTAAATAGCTGTTACACAACCGTTATAACACTCAACGAAGCATGAAGTTGTATAGTAGTTCTACAAGGAAAGTGATATATTTATTTTGGAGCCTCCGAAAGAGTTGTTGCAGTATTTTTTAATGCATGTTTTTTTTATATGATCATATTGTGAATATGATATGCTGTAAGTTCTCCAAAAATAATGAAATAAAATAAACTCTTTTCTGACAAAAAAGTATACCAAATGTTGGTTTATTTTCTAATTTTACTAGTTGTAATAATATTAAATACACATAGTGATCCCACTGATTATTATTTTTTGTTTTACTTTGTTATCTAAATACGGCACTTGGCTGGTCTTAGTAGTTTGCACTGCGCAAACGAAAATTCGTAATACGCCATATTGCCAAGTTGGCTCTTACTAGTAGTAATTTTATCATAAAAATTAAATTCAGACTTTTATTACGCTTCAGTTTACTATAATTAATATATTCCTGTCAATAGATCACAAAATTTTCTATCACTGGGGATTAAGGGCCAGATCTGAATTCAGACGTCGATTCTGCACATTATAGAATTGTCAACTGTGAAAATTTTGTCTTGAAATTAAGTTTTTACGGATGTTGCTTGTGTAATACTACTATCTGCAGTATTTTATAAAATGTCGGAATCATTTAGAGACACATTCATAGTCATGACATAGGTTATTGCGCGTTAAAACATGACGATGACTTCATTTAGATGCGGCAACATGAAATTGAATTGTTTAAGTGCAAAATCACAATTATTTCTTGGCCCATATTACAATATCGACAATAACATTGTTACCTATTGCGATAAAAATAGTATATATTTATGCACATAAAATAACAGTTTCACCACTATAACATTATAAGTTGTTTTATGCTACACTCTGAAATTTATTAATTACTTGTTGATGTAATAACAGTGGCAAACGTTGCTCATTGTTTCTGATTCAAATATTGCAGGAAAAATAACTATTTCCAAGTTTATCTTTTTTAGTTGCTTCGTTTTAATTTCGTTCCGAATTGCGTTAAAATACATGCCATATGAATCATACCTTATGCATGTGATATCATACCGTATGATTCATCAAACAAAATAATATTTCAGTCTTTCTGACTCTAATGTTTAACCAAAGTGAATTGAAGTTCCATTGTGTTGATATTCCAGCGCCCGTATATGGCCCCCCTCCAGCTCACGTAGAGTACGGCCCCCCGAGCGGGTACGGCGCCCCCACGGCGCCGGCGCACTACACGCACACCGCGCCCGCCGTCCCCGTCGCGCCCACAGGCTTCGCGGCGCATAAATACCCTTCACATCTAGACGGTAAGCGCAAAAAGATTACATTAAAATTCTAAGACTAATTTATTACTTTTAAACTGGTACATGACGATTGATTGTTACAAGTTAGACAGTTTATTTAATATATAATAATGTCTAGGAAATCTTAATGACATTTATGTTATGAACGATATGTTGTTGTATGTCTTGACTTACATAACTACGAGTATACGGTATTCTGAGTTTCGACCGGTATATGTTTTTATACTTTTGTAGGCCTAAATTTACTGAAGCATATCATTATGTGTATGTAACGAACATGTAGTTTCAATACATATGAAGTTAGGTAAAAAGTGGTTATCATCTTTTTTTCACATGGCAATGACATATTCAAAATATAGCGGCGGATTCTAATATTTGAAGTTTATCTGTCCTTTTATAAAAAGAGGACAGGCTTTAGGTTTAAATAATTTATCTGACCAAAATAAGTAAATATGTCTCAATTTGACGTTTTCTTTTCTATCATTGTCAATTGCTATACGCTGGCAATGGTTTTAAAGGGTTTAAGGAACTTTCATAATTTTATAATCAGACGAATATATGTGTATCACATTTGATATAATTTATTACATAGCTATTGGTACTTGCATAGTAATAAATACAGATTACGCTATCTTACAGCACCTGTGTGATTATATTCTAGTTTTTCTCTTAATATCCGCCAAAAATTTTAACTTAAATATTCCATAGCGTAGTTAATTATTATTATTAACTTTTATGTTCCATAGTTAACCGTTTAATTTCCCTTCAGGTCAGGCTTCGCCTAGTGATGGGAACAGTAAATGTATTTTTGTAACTTTAAAAATATGGAAATAAATAAATAAAAAATAAAAAAATGTGTTAACGATTTAGTTTAAAGGTTTCAAAAAATCTATGTTCTCTATTTTTCTATGTAACGTATTTATACATTTGATAATGGCAGCTGATTATTTAATAAGAAGACCAACATTAATTACCTTATAACATAAAACCGAGAAGCATGTATAAAAATAACTATGAATGTGTAGAAGGTAGGTAGCATAGGAAGCTACCCCGCAAGGTTGGTCTTGACATTCATATCTCTTCTGGCTACCCCGCAAGGGTTCAAGGGCATGAAGATATACATTAGATACTTCGTTTTTTTAATATACATTTGTATAATTATTTTTGTTTTTAAACTTGTAATTGATATTAAGGTGTGATTGATAGTATTTTTTTTAGATTTCATAAATAAAAAACGTAATGAATAATGTTATGTATTTCTATAGGCAGTGTAATTTTACGCGTTATTACCCATTTATTTTTCCGATACCTGTATATTAGTGAGTAAAAACGTCATTGTGTGTATGAGGTAACACAATATGACAGGGTAACCAACTGGAAACTATATAAAAAGATGACTGTTACATAAAAGAAGCGCTTTTTGTAAATGACATCATTTTCGTTGATGAAATGTCATCAGGCTTGCTAGTTTCTATCTGACTAATTTATTAGTGATTTTATTTAGTCATATCCTAACAAAAATAACTTTTTCAAAGAGAAAAAGTTATTTTATAAGATCGATTTACATTCGCAGTGCTATATTAATCAGATTTTATTATCTTAAACGTTCGTGTAAGACTTTTGACTGTAAAAGAAACTTGACAGTCTCGTTTTTGATAGTTCAATTGTTAGAGCAGTCACCTGCCCACATTTTTTTTATAAAAATTTAATAGATCACATGTTTTGTCGTAATTATCACTACAGTAGGAGCATAGGTTTACTGAAATTGAAAAAAAAAATACATAATAATAAATTGTTCCTGTGAAAACCGGATACGAAAGTATACGTGTTAGATTTAAAACAACCACAAAAGTGTTACAGCGGGTTGCGTGTTTTCGACACCGTGACACTGTGCGGTCAAAGTTCTAAACGCCTCCGGAACTAAAGATAAGACTGTAGCTGCATAATACACTATTACACAATTGCACGTTCAAAGAGAACATTTGTATGTTGAAAAAGTTTTAGAAATGCTAATGACCACGCATTGGTTCAAATTAACGTCTTAAAACAAAACGATATGCCACGCGATGGTATGCGATGGATACAATTAATTTGCGCAAACACCGATTCTAACGTCAGCGATACCATCGATGCAGCAGATGTTAAAGAAGATGGAGTATATCGTTTCGAGGTGCATCTTTATAGAGAAAACCATGCCAGGACGTCAATACAATATAATATCTAATTGTCTAACGATTGACAAAAAAATCATCACTTGTTTTTTTAATAGTATCAAATCATACTGATGCCTAAAAATTTTTTACATTTAAAAATGTTAATTACCTGTATACACACACATATATACACACGCAAATACACACTCACACACACACAAACTACCTGATTTCTACTGCATACCAATTGTTCAATTGTATGTTTATTTTTGGTATGAATAAAGAATTATTATTATTTGTTAATAGTTTAGTAAAGTAATGTTGTAAAGAGAAGGTATTTTGATAATTAATAACTTTTTTGAATATGCAATACACAATATTGAAAAAATGCGAGTAATAAACTTGTTCTCTAGTATTTGTTTGTTTTATATTCAAATGTAGGTGTATTTATTAGAATGCAATACCGGTCATTTTATATTTTACAGAGTTAATAGTGATGTCGTCCGTGGTCGATGATGTGATCACAAACCCACCACCACCGGAACCCTCCTACGAACTTTTGCATCGTTACTATGATCTCGTGAACGAGATATGGTAAGATACCTCTAATCGCCATTATCTCGGCGACGTTTCCTGCTGTCTTTATTGGATCTTCACAGTTTTGTCTTACATAGACGATTGTTAATTCTTCCACCTTTCCTGTCTTGCTTAAAGCTGATTATATTTCTTCAAAATTTCTTGTTCTATTTCAGATAATTTTGTGGGATATCTCTTTTCATATAAATATTTCTTATTAGGCCCAGTTTTTCCTTCGTTCTTGCTTTTTGGTCAATGTTTCTTTCTGGTCTTTTTCATGTTCTCGAATATCCAGATGAAAGTTTACATTTATATTTGATTAAGATGAACGAGAACTGATTCGTTTTCCCTTTATCTTCAACTTTTCTCACAATTTTCGCCCATATCAACGTCAATGAAAGTAACTCTATTTAAACATAGTTGATTATTAATATCACACTTCTGACCTCTTTATACGTGAAGTTCTTCGTTAACTTTTGTTGCTCCGTGATAAATTATACTTTATTTATAAATTGTTGTTTTGTATAATAGTGTACAAAAGGTGTTTGATTCTTTTCATTATTTTAGTTGAATGGTAGAATTATGTTTATTAATCTTTCAACTATAGATTTCTCTCCAAAGCATGTCCTAGATTTTTCTACTACCTCGGCCTTCGTGTTTCATTTACGTAGTTGTTCACTTTCCCTCACTGACGGAAACATACATTTTTATCGTGATGAAATCATGAATGTGACTGTGGCACTCAACCTTTGCATTTGGCAGATTCACCCAATAATTTATGTTTGGTAATACTTGTATGTATCTATGTTGTAATACAGAATGCGAGTTAAGTAGTACATTTTTGAAGGACTTTAGCGAGTAAATCATGAGTGTAGTGTGACACACTGTCACAGTATTTGAATTTCTTTATGACCTCATTTCTACATTTAAATTGCAATAAATTACGTTAAGGAAAATGAAGTAATACAACGGTATGGACCTCTATTTTTTGGCATAGGTAGGATTACAGTCGGGTAATCCTACCTTTGCCAAAAGTGTTTAAATATTTACACGATGTTTCTGAATTAGTCAGTGTTATTTACGTAACCTTTTTGCATCTTATCAATACACAGGTTTCTCTAATAAATAGTCCACGTGACTATTCAATAGTTCACTTACGCAGATGGCAACATTGTATACTTATCCAAGTCATAGATCAATCGTTTTATAGTTTTGTTTTTATATTTCAATTATTTCTGCAGTGACTTAGGAGGTCACGCCTAATCAATTATTTTTCTAAAAAGAAACCGCGATGTATTTGCAACATGTACTATATCAAAGGTTCAACCTCTTATGACACCACTTCTTTATATCCCCCTTTCTGTGGCTGGCTAGCGATGACGTCGATGAAAATAAATAACTTTGATTTAATTGTCCACTTATTCATTTATGCCCTTTTCAAATTACTCATTTTATTATAATTTATTACAACTTGGTGCAAACGTACTGTACAGTTCGTGCTAATGAGTCGAGTGAAGATGATGTTGTGTCGTCAGTGCCAAATTTCAGGGGTTATATACTCCTGATATTTGTCTTGAATACAATGTTGTTATCAGTTTAAGTTTGAACCGTTGATAAATTTCATGTTGCAAATACATCGCGGCATCTTTTTAGAAAAATAATTGATTAGGCGTGACCTCCTAAGTCACTGCAGAAATAATTGAAATGTAAAAACAAAACTATAAAATGATTGATCTATGACTTCGATAAGTATACAATGTTGCCATCTGCGTAATTGAACTATTGAATAGTCACGTGGACTATTTCTTAGAAAACCTGTGTATTGATAAGATGCAAAAAGGGTGCATACATAACAGTCAGTCTCAAATTTTAATTTTCAAGCGTGGTAGGTATCGAGTGGATATCTTCACGTTTATCGTACATTCACTTATAACGCGTGTTGTTGTTACGTAATATTAAAAGGGATTTATATAAAGTAACAGGGTATTACACGGAAGCTCCAACAATCGAATCACCCTATAAGATAAAGTGAAAGTGATAAAGCTGACCGGTTTATCTCGTCACCCGGCTCTCCTTAACAGTCACGCACGTAAGGCTCACCGCACACGCGTATTAGTTTTGTTGACACATTGTTCACGATTTGTCTAGCGTGTTATAATAAATATTATGTTTATCAGTGTTGTTGCTTTTATTTAGAATTAGCGATCCAATAAATTTGCGGAAAAACATTACGTATTAATTTTTGAAATTAGGAAAAGTTTAATTCAAAATAGTTATAATAAAATATGAACGTTAATATTTTTAGTAATTAATTCAAGTTTTATATGTGTTTGTTTGATTTTAATGAGATACTTAGTTTATAATTATTAAATCTTTTTTTTTTTTACTTTCAACATATTTATAAGATACATCATAGTTACTTTACGACCGATGCAAAAACAAAGATTAAAATTGAATTGCGAAAGAATAGATTTTAGTTGGTAGTTCTATTTGAGAATATTTTATAATACATTTAGCTTTAGGTTGAGTTACATCACACAGATCGGTTCCGTTTCACCGATTTATTTAAAGAAATAAAGAAGCTTCATAAAGAATCCTTGTCAAGTTTTTTGTTTTATTAAAGAAATGGAACAATGACCGACAAATACCTGGTTCCGTTGAAATAATCGTCTAAAATAAATGTTGAAGTTATATAAACTTAGATAGAGACAAATGAATAAACGCTAGAGTTAATTGTTATTTTTCACCAGTAAAATTGCCATGATAAAAAGCTTTTTTAAGGTGAGACGGAAGTTTCTAATTGTGCAAATTTAATATTAACGTTCTTTAATAAAATTATAATAAGATTTTTTTATTTTCCACAGTATGAGCAGGAAATATCAATTTCTAACTATAGTAAACTATATTAATTGATTAATGTAATTGAGGAAAAGGTGGTTTTAATAAAATAGTTACCTATATATAAATACAATAATTATAACAATAATAAATTATTATTATTATTAACAATGCATATGAAGGTAAAAATATTAGGGGAATTCTAAACAATAAATCAATGGTAAAAACCTATGTATTCTTTCTATGTGATAATAAAACCCCATCGCGGTTGGATATTCCATACGTAAGAATTTCAGCGGAAATAGAATGTTAAGTTGTTATGGTATGGAGAACAGAGTTTTAAGATAATCGTTTTTAGACCTTATTCTCTCGCTTTAAGGTTGTTTGTTGATCTGACTTATATAACATTTTACAGCTACTGCGGTTAACTTTCGAAGTCGGAGACAACTTAATGAATAAAGTTCGATGCATGCACTTTCTCGTGCTTCGAATTCTGTGGTATGTTACCTCATTATTGACAGGTCCCATGGACATATGACTCATATATCACATACAGTTTATTGATGTTCTTGTTGATGCGTTCCTCTCAGTATTTTCTTCCCTGTACTTTATATAAGTATTTTTTCTACGATTTAGGTTTCCACCTATTATTTTAACGGAATTTTACATTCAAATTAATATGCCAAGTACCAACCCCAGGTATTCTGAGATGGGGCCATTTTTGGGTGCATTTTTAACCATTTTTCATTAAGATTTTTTTTCGGTTTCCAGTTTATATTATTTATACATCTTTAAAATTATGTAAAGAGATTTGGGCGAATAGTTTATTTAAATGAAAAAAAAAACATTCCATTTATTTTATGACAGTCGATGCCAATACACATTGCCTCCATTAATTCGTGTGTTAAAGTTTCGAATTGATTCATTAAAGAATGTACCTACATACTAATGAAGAGAAAAACGAAATTGAATAGCGCTGTTACATATGACAGATGTCATGTGAGGCTTAATTTTAATGTGGGTACATACGTGACTTATACGAAATGATTTACTTACACGTGCTAACCTAAACGGTAGTAATTAAATTATATAAACAATGTATGTCAATTTATCAACTGTCGATTGTTTAGAGATGTAAGGTACGAGGACAGAATCTTTTGAAATGTATTTCACAAACAATATTTATTTGGAAATATAAATATAATAGTTGAGATTAGTTAGAATGTAATTAGATAAGAACTAGAAAACAAAATGTAATTACTGTGGTAATTATGTTGTCCGAGTGATGACTCCGGGTGTAAGGTAATTTATAAAATTTTTTCTTTCAAAATTATATCCAATTACCTTTAAAACACAATGATGGATAGTTTTTTTTGTAATTACATAAATATGCGAATCATTTACTAGTCAAGATGCTGACACAGAAACAAGCGCACTCTTCGAGTTTTGTGGACATAGAAAATGAAAATGCGCGGACGCAGAAATACATTCATTCGTTCTTACATTAGATAAGCATTTGTTCTTCTTAATCGTTTGAATTTAGAATTAACATCTTTAAAAAAGTCCGAAATAATTAACTTGGTTAATTTACTAAAATGTTTTTTTTTAAGTTTATCAGATTGTAGTTTCTGAAGTTCGTTATATAAGTGTTAGCCAACCATGAGCACTGTGTGAGATGACTGTGGGAATAAGGTTGCTACAACATACAAATATCATACAAAAGAATTTATATTTGAAAATCATCAAAATTATTATTGCATTTTCATTTGATTATCGAAGGTTTAACGTGCATTTAATGTGATTATGCAATACGTTCACGTGCATTGAAGATAAAAATGTATTGTGCACGAATAATGATTGTAAAAGTTGTAGGTATTAAAATAATAGACTCTAAAGATGTTCCCATACTTGGAGCTTTTGCATGTAATGTAACATTTCAGATGTTACAAGTTGTATCAAGTATTTCTTTATATTATCTGTATGCAGATGAAGGAGCACCTTTTAGGGAAAATTCTTCCTCCGTTGTCAGCCCAGGATCAGTAATTTAACGATGTAAATTGAAGTTGCTTTAAATAAAGTTGGGGTAGAAACTTTGTTACTGTGATGTAGACTAAGGCTGGACCTTAGCGCTATATTGTTACTGTGCTACTTATGTTTTTTTTTTGTCAACGTCGATTATAGTGGCAATGTTAGCGTGGTGCGAGAGATTAAAGAGTGACTACCATGTAACTTTATTCATTCGGTAAATTAATAAAGTCAAATTCATGTCTTTTTTATCATACATTGGTGGTTGTGTTGTAAAATATCGCAAAATTTTTATTGAATTGTTCGCGTAACTAAGATTGTATGTCATAAACAATAGAATCCGAGAACATCCATCCACTTAAATAGAGATTAATATGATTACGGTCCACCACGGAACAAAAACGGTAAAGTTACATCATTTGATCAGAAGAGACCATATTACTATTTATGTAACCAGAATTGATTGTTGGCAATTGGATCAAAAATAAAAATAAAAAACTTAATGAGTCGCATACTATTCTTCCGGGTCAAATATAATTATATCATCGATCTCTAATACATTTATAAAATTGAGGTTTCAAAAAAAAAATTGTGTTGTTAACAAAAAAATTATTCATATCTACTTAAAAGATTCCGGCTGAGATATTACGTGACGTATACACTCGAAAATAAATAATCAAACGAATTTCCTAAGTGAAGTTTTTATTAGTGCCTTGATCACACTAGCACATATAAATATTACTATAAAAGTTACTTCATTTCATGCGCGTACTCGTGCAAATAATAATGATTTTTATTTTATCGAAATCGGGTCAGGATTGCCGAAGTTACAGCGTTGTAAATTTTCATCGCTTCTTTTAATTTACGTTACATATTTCGCGCACTGTGCGATGACGCCTCATCGCAGTATTTATATTTAAATAGATAAAATTTTATTTATAAAGTGGTTTCCATTTTATATTTTAATTGTTTGTTATTGTGTCTTACAGCCAGTTGCACAAATGTCCATTAAAATTGTCATTAGTTTAAACCTACATTACTGATACAAATTTTACATTAATTAGAGTTTGAAAGCGTCATTAAATTTGTGCAGTCGGATAACCTATCAAAAGTAATTTTTATGGTTGCATGATATATGTCCTAGAAGTGTGAAAATTAAATAGATAATTCATGTATAACTATTCATATATGTTACTGGGTATTTTAATTAACTTTTGTTAAAAGATTACTGTTTGTTTTTTGACGAGTTTCAAGTGGCGGCAGGGGCTACAAACATTTTCCGAGTTGTCAAAGTTCAACATAAATTTCTAAATAAAATGTTTTTTTTTTCAATGGGCGACAAACAAAATGTTCATTTCATCCTTTATGGTAAACAAGCTGTTTTCGTTATCGTTTTCAATCTGTAATATAAAAACGTGTGTATAAATAATGGAGTCATAGTAATCATCGTATTTTTTTTTAAATAAGTTTCCACTAAGTTATCCAGTATCGATCAATTAAATTCCAGTATCGGTCATGGCCATACACACACAAAAATATCCAGGCCCAGACAAAGAAAGTTAAACTCATCTATTAGTAATAATAAATTAATCATTTTTTGTTCTTTTTTAAGTATCAATAAAATTTTTAGTTTTTAACACCTGAAATTACAATCGGTGTTATAGATACCAAGTGTGATTTTAGTAAATAAAGTTTTGAAATATAATTACAAAAAAATACTTGTTCTTTACTTCTGACCATAGTCAGTTTGATGACTATCATAAATTAATCTACTACTGTAGTCCTCTGAGGCTAGGTACGTAATGAGAACTTATAACTAAGGTTTTAAACCATTTGTGATTAGATTTAATAAAAATGGGTTCGTTTTTTAAAACAAAAATTCATCCCCAACGCCGTCTCCACCGCCGTCGTGAAGTGACATCACACGTTAGCGTGGTCACTTTGCGGGATTTTGCCGCGGAGGCCGTACTTTAACGTTTAACATTTCGATCATTTTTAAAGATAGAAAAAATTAAAACAGTTTCTTTTTCTCGAGTTACCCACATTTTAGAAATGCTGATAAGAAAAAACATTGGTGTGACACATTCTTAATGTAGCATTATTAAATTTTAATAATCAATCGTTTATAAATACTCTTTGTATCAGTTTTTACCGCATAATAAGATACATTTGTCATCTTTTTAATTCGTTAATTATATGTGTTTATTACTTCATTTCTAGCGGAGCAGCTGCATCAACATATACCTGTGTACTTTCGCAGAATAGGTATCTACTAAATGCAAAGAAATCCAGTAGTGGAATGTGATTAAGACGTAGAGTTGTTACAGCTTTTAATTGTATCGATATAAGTATGGTTAGTTGGCGTAAATGGTGTAGAACATCGTGCTTGAACAGTTATGATGAACGAGGAAGGAGGAAGAGGCAGTCTTTCTCATTTCTTGTATTAACAAGTATACCTTCTGACAGTTGACTGACTGAAACGCTTTTTGAGACAGGCCGAGGTAAACTGAACGGGCTTCACGCCGGAGTAGTGTTACTGACGCCCCTGGGCGACGCCACGCCCGACGACACGCACGCGGAGCACACACCGCTCGAGCCGCCGCCCTCGATACTGCACACTGTATACAGCGCCATCAAAAATGTCTTCACGCCCCCACCGCAGACCGACGACTATGCCCCCAATCATATAAGCCGACCTGAAGAGGAAATATCCGCCCACCAACCGCCCCCTCCGCCCCAACCGGTGCCACCTTTCAAACCGATGAGCTGGGACGCCGTCAACTCCTACGGCGAACCGGCGATGGCCGAAGCCTATCCGGATTACGACCCGCGCCACCCGCATCCCCCGTTCAATTACGCGATGGCCAAACACTCTAGTGTCCCAGTCCGTAAACAAAAAACTGGTCTGACTGCTGAAAAAATACAAAAAATCAATAACAATCTTAAAAAATTACAAGCGTACATGAATCAAAACCAAAGATCCTCAGAAGTCTTGCCCACTTTTGTAGGCCTAGACAGATACCAGGAGATGCTTCAGAAAGGGCTAGTGCCCATTTTTCCAACTCAAGTTGTTAGCGATAATGAATTAGGGGTCCTCCCGGCCGACCTCCTCCCTGACCATGACGTCACCAATAAGTCCACCACGTCCTCCACCACGACCTCCACTACAACCTCTACCACGACAACAACAGTCGCGCCAAAGACTACGAAGACTCCGGAAGACGAAACGAATAGAAGAAAAGACGCGAAATACATACTGCGCGGAAACAAGATCGTTCAAGTTTGAACAAGACTGACTTTTGACTGACTGAGGTATGTGATGCGTGTGACGCGTGACTGACTGCTATCAGCCAAACCGTCTTCTGTAACTCTCAGTCCGTTACCATGGATGGTCTGGTTCAAATTAAAATATACCAATGTAAATTACATCTTCGGTGTTGCTTTTAAGGACTAAAATGACTCTTTAACACTTGACTAATATTACTTTGTCTCTTTCTAAGCATGACTGATCTTTAGTTAATCTGTAGGTGGTTTTCTTTCTTAAATCGTCAGTAGATATTGTTGTTACTAATCAAAAAAGTTTTTAGATATTTCTAACTTGTATGTACCTACTAAGGTAGAATTGTAAATTATGTAGAACTATGTAGAATAGAAAACTGTGTGTTCAATTTTAAAACATTTAGTGACTTACCTTTTATTAGTGTCAAATATTTTTATTTTCACGTCTCATATATTATTTTTATATTTTCAGAGATGCCACAGCACGGAATAGTGTTGGGAGAAGAAGCTTTACAGCACTACTACGGTTAAGATCAATAATAGAGTTAAAATCTACCAACACTCGATGATATTTAATGTAGATAGTTGCTTGTAGATACAGTGGAGATTTTATACCCAAAGTAGAGAACTATTTATTTATCGTTCATATATTTCAAAGTTTGGTGTCTACATACAATCAGCCTGGCCTTTTTTGTAGATAATTTCAGAAAGGAATACGAATTTTTAGATAAGAATCGATTTATTATTAAATATTTTTTGTAATAGGTATTTTTTTAATTAATTAGTATGAACGGTATATACATCGTTTTTTCTTCATAATATTTAAATACATATAAAAGGTAAGAATATTTGTTTCAATATCAGTATTAATAAATTGAACTTATTTTTAAATATTAAAAAAAAATTGCTCACCATTTTATATAATAAATAAATTATTACAATAATTTGTAAAAAATATGTACCTAATAAAGTTTTTATTTTTATATTTGTATAGTTGTACATAATGCTCAATAATTTATATGGTTTTACACTTGTAAAAACGTTTCTTTTGTAAATAAATTATAAGGGATGTGATGTATTAAAATAGTTATAATTCAGTAAAGAATACCAAATTATTGCGTTTTTTTATTTAAAAAAAAAACACTAACTTTGGCCGAATATTGTGTGTGTAAGGTCTCCATTATGATTATATATGTGGCAAAAACATGGTTATAATTTTGATCGGTATATAGCTATGTATGTTCATCTGTTATATCAATATTCTTTTCAAATGTATATTCGTCTGTGAGCCGTCGAAGATTTTTAAAACCAATATTCTTCCAGTTAATAATTTGTTTAAAAGCTCAATATTGTTATCATATGCGGCCTAATCGTCAGCTTCCTGTATATTTATATATTCCTGATTGAAAATATGTCCAAATTATAGTTTATCCTTAAACGAGTATGTTTATCAGTAAGCTTTTCCCCGCTATTTAGTTTGCGTGGAATTAGATTATATATAGTCTAAATCATTCATGTCAAATCATTACAGGAATGAATTAAGGATTTTAACAATGTCAAGTAGATTATTTTAATAATTCATATTAATAAATAATATCACGAAGTCAATTAAACTATAAAAATATATATTATTACAAATTACATTATATAAACAAGTCAAACATATATATAATTTTATCGCATTAATAATTGATGAATCCTTTGACTATTTCAATAATATATATATACAAAACCAACTTCAAAACAAGAAAAAAAAAGTGCAATTCCATACCACTGTACTTTTTTTTGTTCAGTAGCGAAATGATTTGTTGATTAAATGAATTTATGTCTATGCGTTTGTATGAATGTTCTCTCTTGTTTATGAACGTTCTCTGTTCTCAGGTAGAATACTGTATCTTTTTGATTATTTAATTTTGTGACCTTATTAATTAGTATTGTAGAAAATAAAGATCTTATTTTACCCATCATGGGTAGTAAGAATGTGATGGTGGGTAAGATAGAAAATAAACTACATCTCTATGGCAAGTGTCTTCGTTGAAATAGGTAAAGGATTCATCAATATTAATGCGATAAAATTATATATAATATGCTTGATTTGTTTATATAATGTAATTTGTAATAATATATATTTTTATAATTTAATTGACTTCGTGATATTATTGATTAATATGAATTATTAAAAAAATCTACTTGACATTGTTAAAATCCTTAATTCATTCCTGTAATGATTTGACATGAATGATTTAGACCTTAGTTTTTAATTTGAAAGACTTTCCGAGTGTAATTTTCTGAGTTATATGGGCAATAAATTTTACTATAGGGAAAATGTATCACCATTACCAGGGAGGTTACGAGATTACATAATAGGGTTAGTCCCTCAGAGACATACTCACTCAAATCTATACAGAGTGAACCTTCTCTTTGAGGGTGATACTATTTATTGGTATTTGCGGAACCTAGTGAGGTAAGGGGCTTGCCCCCTTCTAAGGTCTAATAATAAATAAAGCGAGTGCCCATTCGCAGCTGGTTTACCAGGTAGGCCGGCCTCGCTCAAGATTTAAGGCTTATAGTGCATTTCTCCTACGTTATCAAAAACATGGTCTGCTGTTGGTATAGCATACGTATAAGTAAGTAAAGCTTTGTAACGCCTTTCAATTTTCATTCGGCAAAGGTGGTTTAATGCACAACAGCCTCTAAGCTCGTCGTGTGCGTGTGGCATCTCTAGGTATTCATTGTTGAATAAATACCTAGAGGTAACGGTGGTCTTTTGATTATATGGGACTACGGTTAACGTTATACTAAACCATAATTAAAGTTAGATCTTTTAGTTTAGTTTAGAGTGTGTGGTAGAACACGTATTTTATAATATGCCTACAATATTACGTAACACCTTCATATTCGTATAGCCAAGCGGGTGTGATACGTAGGGTTGCCACCTTCGATTGCAAATGATCGTGGGTTCGAATCTCATCTCAGAGCACCAGGGACAAAGTGGATTGTTTAAGTATTTTTAATTGAGATAGGTATACATATAATGAATAGAGAAATTTTGATTTTATCAAATCGACTATTTTGGTCATCCAGATCACTAGACATAGTGTCAACGCCGCAACACAAATTTCAGTAAAATTGAAATCGCCATTGACAAGGATTCAATTTTTTTTGTGGATTTTAAAATACCTGAACATAATTAATAAGAAATCAGGATGCTGAACAACGTCTTTGGTAATGGGATTGATTTGGAAAATTTTGGTGGCAGCCCTGGTGACACGGTCAGTGGCGTAGCTACCAAGGGGCTAGGCGGGGCAGTGCCCCGGGGCCCTCAAGCTCAGGGGGCCCTCGAATCTTTACCAGAAGAACTCAACTTTTGAAAATTTCTCCTATTTTCAAAATAAATATGACAGGTGACAACTCGAGTTTAATCATGGCAACTCAATTGTGAGAAATTCCAAAGTTATAAAAAGGGAATTCCCCTAAACGATTTGTGTGGGTTGACAGTGTTATTAATGTTTTCATCAATTTGTCATATATCAATATCTGTGTTGCCGACCTTTTTACTTTTATTTATTTTTTATATATTTTCAAATCACTGTCATTCTTTTATAATCTTTGTTGTTTAAAATAAAAAATAATTGTCATCGTTTCGTTGTGTTAATGTATCAGGAGTAAGTAAGCGTATGTCAATAAATATTTTGTACTGGTCCACACTAAAATTCAATTTTATTTGATTATAGTACGTATACATAGTTACGTAAAGAAATGTATGGATTTTGGCTACTCACTATATAACTCAAAATACCGTGAAAAATACAAGTCATATGCGGTAGGGGACCGTCCATCAATTACATGATGTTTTTTGTCATTTTGGTAACACTGGAGGCGATAAAATGTTTGCCGGGGATTCCCCAACGACGTCTTGTATCGTATAATTATGTTTCGTTTTCCTTTTACTTGTAAAATAAATTAAACAACTAATATTATGGACAAAAAAAAAAAGAAACCCAGTGGTGCATTTAAACACAAAAAACGCCAAGAAAGAGAAGAAAGTAAACAAAAATTGCCTAAAATTGCCAAGTTTTTTAGTCAGCCTTCTGCAAGTACTTCTGGACAAAATATTTCTATTAATAATTTTTGTAAATAGCTTGCATGGCGATAGGTTAAATAACAGTAAGCTGGTGCAACGTATCTATGTATAAATACATAATAAAACCTTGAATCTTTTCTATTTCGTTTTATTGCCCAATACCTACACCAAGTATAAAAATAATTGTACTTTATGTTGTTAGTGATTAATAGTTTTATTACCTGCCCATACACGAAAAAGAGCTGATGATAAAGTTGCTTAGCATTTTTAAAGTATTTGTATATTTAATGATATTACTTCAAAAAACCTAACCAGTTTTGATAGCAGTGGGCCCCATTTTTTTATTTGCCCCGGGGCCCTAGGTAACCTAGCTACGCCACTGGACACGGTTGTGGAATTAGACTGTGGTTTTCCGGTTCCCATTCTACTATAGGAAATAACGTTAAATTGATTGTTTTAATGTTTATTCTTATTTCATGCGTTTTTACAAATGTAGTCAATTTACTTTTTTATATATAAATATTAACGACGAGCAGAAAACACCTGCCTTTGTCGTTTAAAAAGTGAGATCAATAATTTGCTACACGAGTGTACCTATATACACAGAATGTTGCTGTGTTGTTTGTTCGGTTGTTTTATTTTCTTTACCAGCAAAGGGTGCTTAGAGTCCCCATAGTAGGATGGGTGTCCCGGTGACTCGGCTACGGTTTCCTGGGTCTCATTCACCTACGTGAGAGTACACTGTAAGGTATTTTAATAATTTCATTTAATTTCAGTTGACCTAATCGCGACATTGTCGATAAATATTACTTATCACATGCTATTAAATGATTTGTAACATCAATAATTCATTTTTTCTGACAATTTGAGATGTAAAAACAAAACAATGTTAAGGCAAAGCATGAATTCATAAATTCACATAA